CAGGTGCAGCGACACGAGGTTCGGCATGGCCCGAAACGAGTTGGCAGCCAGCACCGGGAAGTTGTTGCGCTGTAGGTTGAGCAGCTTTGTCTTCTCTGATACCTTGGGGATCTTCTGCAGCCCCACCTTGTCGCAAATGACGTGCTGCAGGTCGCCGTGGCAGTGGCAGTTCTGGGGGCAGGCGGCCAGCGCCGGCAGCAGACCAGCCAGGAGGCCGAGGCTGAGCAAGAGCATTGGGCTGGCCATGGCCAGGACTCCTGGGGCCGGGGCTGGGGGCAGCAGCGGCGGCGGGGCGCGGGCAGCGGCGAGTCCTGGGCGCTCGGGTCTGCCGCCCTCTTTATACGGTGGCCCTGACCGCAGCCGGCAGCCGAGCCAGCTCCTACGTGGAGCATCGAGGCCACTGGGCTTAACTCGCTCGCGCCCAGAGATGCGCCCCCGCCCTCCACGGGGAAGGGGGCGGGGCCCTTCCCCCAGCCGGCGACCGTGCATAGGGGAGTGGGACCGTGGCCCCCGAGCCCCGGCTCTAGCCCCCTGCTCTCCTGTGCTGCTCCTCTGCCTACCGCCTTTCCCGGGGCTTTTCTGGGAAGGGGGAATGGTTATGTCTGGAGCCCCGAGTTTACATCGTAGAGAGGGAGGCGTTCCCTGAACTTATTTGTTTGCTCAAGTTTGAGCCTCCACGCTGCACCATCCACACACGCTCGGCCGGGTGCCCTGGATGCGAGGCGGTAGGAAGCGGGACCGGACAGCCGGACGCGTCTCCCCGCGGTGGGCCAGCTGGCGGCGCTTTAATGGGGTGCTTGTGCAGCGCCGGCCGAGAGTGAGAGCCGCCCTGGCGTGGGGCTCCCACTTCGGACGCGCCGAAGTTGGCCCTGGGGAGACCCGAGCTCTTTCCCCACCCTGGGGCGCGCCCCCACCCCTCTCTCCCAACCCTGCTTGCGCCCCCATCCCCTTTTTCCACAGCTGAAGGCTGAGCAAAAAAGTGGGAAGTCGGGGAGGGTGGCCAACGGGAATGGCAAACACACCTGGAAACCACAGGCCACAAGCACAGTCTCACTATCCTCCCTCCTTCATCGCCCCGAAATATCCCCATCCCTCATCCCCAACCCTAGTGGTCAGGACCCGCCCCGAGGGGTCTCAGGGTGGCGGCTGAGTGGCGCCGAGGTGTACTTGGCAGAGGCCACATTCGGGCAGTGGCCCCAGGACTGTGAGGACGGGTGTGGGAGGGGGCGGGGCAGGTCGAAGGACCAGCCCTGGACGGCTCTGGCTGCCAGACCCTAAGTTCTGTGGGCAGTCCCGCCCCAGCCCGCCAGATTTCTCTGTACCCACTTGCCAGCCACGATGTCCGGATTCCTGTGGAAAGGGGAGGGTGAACAGGCAGGGTCACAGCTCCGGCCTCAGGGTGAGCTCCAAGCTGCCTGGCACAGGATATTGTCTGTGAAGGGTGGAGGGAGAAACCAAACCCCACATTGAACCAAACCCCAGTCGTGTCAGAGCCAGAGCAGCTGATAGGGGGAAGCTTGGTGCAGGGAGGAGGATGGATGAGATCTGGTGTCCATTAATTAAAAGGGACCTAGGACATGGGGTAGCTAGCCTCTCTCCCCTTACCCAGTACCCTCGTGTTGGGGCCTGATTTCCAGCGACTGCTCTTTTCCCAAACCTCTCTGCCCCTTGCCTCTAGGATAGGGGGGTCATACTTGGCCTAGACTATTCCTTGATGGTATTTAGGCTTCTCCAAGGCTGGCTTCTGGTTTTTCTGTTGCTCAGGCTTTCCAACCACTGGAAATGGGGGAGGTGGGGGGGGGGTGCCACTGGTTTTTAAAATCACTGCTTACGTTGTTTTTTATTTTGATGGAAATAAATTCACGGGAAACTCTCCAGAGCTTGGGGGACGCCTGCCCCAAGGCCAGGCACTTGTTCAGGGTTTGCGGAATGGGGAGGGGGGTGGGTTGTGTTTGTGCCACTCCTAGCTGGGCCAAGGCAGGCTGGCTTTCTCATCAAGTATATGGGGCCTTTGGCTTGGAAGCGAGGGGCAGGGGGTGTGGCCTAAAATCAGGAAGGTGGGGTTAAGGCAGCCAGGGGATTGGGGAGAGAAGGGTGGAGTGATGGTAATACCGGAGCCACAGGCACAGACAGGTGGCTGGTCCAAGGAAACGGGGCACTGAGAGAGCTCCAGCTGGAAGAGAATGATGTCCCTGCTCTCAAGTTTCCTTCAGATCTGGGGCCCTGCAGAGATCTAGCCTGCTCACTCCCAGCATCTCTGCCTCCTGACCCCAGGCCCCTACCAATAAGGTCTCTGTTTCCACCATTCAGCTGCCCTCCACTTTCCCTTTTCTTTTATGAATTCCTTCCCATTTCCCCAGATAGCTCACCCAATCCCTCTGCATGCGCGGAGCCCTCTTCAGGCACCCTTTCTGGACCCTCTAGGTTGCTTATGGAACCACAGAGAACAGTCCCGTCACATTCGCGAACTTCCCTGAGGACACTGTGGAGCAGAAGGCAGAAAGCGTGGGCAGAATTATGCCTCACACGGAGGTGAGCCCCTGACCAAGACTCCGAAGCCCCACCTCCCATCACCCAACTGGGGTGCACCCAGCTGGGACATCTGTTGCTTTTAGTGAGAGAGCCAAATGGCTCACTCAGGATGCCTAGAGCTCCCCAGCAGCAGCGGTGTGCTAGGCCTGGCCTGGAGCGTTCTCTGTGGGCTAAGCATGAAAGGGGGAAAGCTGGAATGGTGGCTGTGAGCCGCTGCCAGCTGAACTTCTCCGCAGCCTCCCTTCCTGTCTGAGGTGTGTTTTTGCCAAGCCCACTGTCTGTTTCAGGGCAGCCAGGGTAGCCTCAAAGAGAAGCCAGAGCACAGAGAGTTTTCCTACATAGCTTCTTTTCCTCCAGTGGTCCCCGCCTCTCGCTTTAGCAGAGTTTCTCTTCTTGCTTGGCATAAACACTTCATTTCTCAAGCAGCCTATCCCTTTAGGGGGGTCCCTTTGCCCCTCAAAGGTTGCCCCAGAGTGCATCTCAATCTTAAACCCCAGCCATGCCTCCTTTCCTGCTCTAACACTGGGGCTGTGTCAGCTGGCTCCTGATTTCCCCTGCACCCTTCTGCTCCCACCCCTGGGGGATTGCTGCCCCTGTGCACAAGTAGCTGCTTCTGCTGGTGCTGACCACTATCCTGGTGTGAATATGCCCTGCCCTCCCGCCAGAGCAGCCCTGTACCCAGGGTTTGAGTAGGGATGTGAGCCCCCTCCCGTGTGTCCTACAGCTGCACTGCCATTCTCACTAGGATGCTCACCTGGAAGGGAAACAGGGGCAGACATCACTTACCCCGTTTCACAGATGCAGACACTGAGGCACATGGAGGCTCAGCTTTCCTTGGCACAGTGGCCATGGCTCTTTGCTCTACCGGACTTTCAGACTCTGCCTCTCCTATTCACATGGTGTTGCCATGCCTTACCCTTTTTGGCTTATTTGCTGTTTAATGGGAAGTAAGAGGAGACTCCCTTCTCCTCTCCACAGTTTATAATTCTTCAGCTGGCTCTGCAGTCCACAGACCTCTTTCTTTGCAGCAGCTGCCTGCCTGCTCTGTTTCCTCAGCACTCCCAGCTTGGGCCTCAGCTCTTCTTTCATGCCCAGCTCAGGTCTCTGACTGGCTTTGGGTCGACTCTAGCCTTTGTCTCCCTTCTCTGGATGGGGATAGGCAGAGCCAGGGGGCCTCATTCCAGGTGCTTGAGTTGGGGGGTTGAGAGCAGGCAAAGCTCTCTCCATTTCCGAGGACCACCTATGCTGAAGCAAGAGGACAGGAAGCCCCAACCTGAGGCTGTCCTGTCCCAGGCCCGGATCATGAACATGGAGGCGGGGATGCTGGCAGAGCTGAACACGCCCGGGGAGCTGTGCATCCGAGGGTACTGCGTCATGCTGGGCTACTGGGGCGAGCCTCAGAAGACGGGGGAAGCAGTGGATCAGGACAAGTGGTATCGGACAGGGTGAGAAGGCAGGGCGGGGTGGAGGCTCTGGCTGCTGAGGGGAGGCTGGAGGTCTTGAGGCTGAGCCGGGAACATTAACCTGGCACCGTGAGGATGTGGGTATCAAGATGACCCCTCACATGCTGGAGACTTAATTTCCAAAATGTATATGGTGGGGATGATCATACATAGCACAGAAGAAATCAACTGGGTCATCATCCTACACCAGCAGCTGCAAAAGCTGAGTCCAGATTCAGTCACTCATACTCATTTGTTAGCTCAGCAAATTCTTATTAGAATTCCTTATGTGCTAGCACTGTTCTCACCGCTGGAGGTCCAGAGGAAAGTAAGATGAGAAGGATCCTTTTTTTTGGAGGAAGACAGATGATGCCTGACATCGATAAATAACACCAAGAAAATAGGCTAGGCACAGTGGCTCACACCTGTAATCCCAGCACTTTGGGAGGCTGAGGCGGGTGGATCACATCAGGTCAGAAATTCGAGACTAGCCTGGCCAACACAGCGAAACCCCACCTATACTAAAAATACAAAAATTAGCCAGGCATGGTGGCGCGTGCCTGTAGTCCCAGCTACTCAGGAGGCTGATGCAGGAGAATCGCTTTAACCTGGGAGGTGGAGGTTGCAGTGAACTGAGAACGTGCCACTGCACTCCAGCCTGCACAACAGAGCAAGACTCCATCTCAAAAACAAACAAACAAACAAACAAAAAACACCAAGAAAATAAAATAGGGTTATAGGAGAAAGAGTGGCTGTGGTGGGGAGGGGAGCTTCCCTTAGACTGAGTGGACAGAGAAGATGTCAGGAGACATTTGAGTTGAGACCCGGAAAGAAGCCAGCTGTGAAAAGCATATGTATAGATATGTTGAGAGAGAGAAAGAGAAAGAGAAAGAGAGAGATAATATGTTATAGGTATTGGTTTGTATTTGTCTGCCTCCCTTCCCCTTACTAGACTATTAATTCCAGAGACTGTGTCTTGTTCCTGCTATGTCTCCCAGAGTCTAGAGCAGTGGAAGACACACAGTAGGTGGTCAATAAATGTTTCATGAGTGAGCAAGCAAGTGAGTGAACAAGGCAGAGGTGACAGGTCGCCCCTGGGCTTTCCTTACAGAGATATCGCCACAATGAACGAACAGGGCTTCTGCAAGATCGTGGGCCGCTCTAAGGATATGATCATCCGGGGTGGTGAGAACATCTACCCCGCAGAGCTCGAGGACTTCTTTCACACGCACCCGAAGGTGCAGGAAGTGCAGGTGAGGCACCCGGCTCAGGTGAGCCCCCAGAAACAGGAAACACACATGAACCAGGTGATGTCTGATACTTTTCCCTGGCCCTGGAAGGTCGTGGGAGTGAAGGACGATCGGATGGGGGAAGAGATTTGTGCCTGCATTCGGCTGAAGGACGGGGAGGAGACCACGGCGGAGGAGATGAAAGCTTTCTGCAAAGGGAAGGTGGGAGCCTCCGCCCAACCAAGCTGATGCTGTTCGGTTCTTTGTTCGCCCACTCCTCTGCCAACCAGCCTGGGGTGGGGGCTGCTCTGCCCTCGACGAAGCTGACTCCCGGCCAAGCCAGCCCCGGTCCCCTTCCCATACCCCTGTGAGCTTGCCCAGCCTCACGCCTTACCTCCCTCCCTCTGGTCTGCAGATCTCTCACTTCAAGATTCCGAGGTACATCGTGTTCGTCACAAACTACCCCCTCACCACTTCAGGAAAGGTGTGTAAGGTGAAGGAGACTAGGGAGGGCAGCCTGGGCTCTGGGGTCCCATGGGGCCCCACCTCTGTTTGCTTCAGCAATGGGTGTGGAGAGGCTGGCAGTAGGGTGACCAAGTCACCTAATCCTGGTTTGCCTGGGGACTTTCCCTGTTTTGGCACTAAAAGCCTGAGAAACCCCTTATTCTTGGGCATACCAAGACAGTTGGTCACCCTAACTCCTTTTTCTTTCCTCTAGATCCAGAAATTCAAACTTCGAGAGCAGATGGAACGACATCTAAATCTGTGAATAAAGAGGGAGGAAGGGTCTGCCCAGGCCCTCCTCCTGTCCATCCTCCGTACTCCCCTTGTCTGTCCTTGTGATTTGGCATAAAGAGCTTCTGTTTTCTTTGGCCTCTTGCTGGTGGGCTCTCTTGGCAGCTCCTATGGGATGGAGAAGGGAAGACACTGAGGGAAACTAGCACTTTCAGACCTCCTATTCCTTGTCATTGAGAATGCAGAGCACCTTGATGTGGATTATCTACTTAATTTAACCCTCACCCTTGGTATCCCTTTGAGATACCAACCCATTTTTGTTGTTGTTTTTTGAGACGGAGTCACCCAGGCAGGAGTGTAGTGGTGCAATCTCAGCTCACGCAACCTCTGCCTCCCAGATTCAAGTGATTCTCCTGCCTCACCCTCCCACGTAGCTCGGATTACAGGTACCCACCACTACCCCCACTAATTTTTGTATTTTTAGTAGAGGCGAGGTTTCACCATGTTGGCCAGGCTGGTCCTCAAACTCCTGACCTCAAGCAATCTGCCTGCCTCAGCCTCCCAAAGTGCTGGGATTACAGGCATGAGCCACTGTGCCTGGCCCCAATTTTTTATTTTTAATATACTCTAATTTAATTCTTTTTCACATTGTTGCCAGATTAGTCTAGCAAGAAGTATTCTTTTATATATATATAACGGCTTGATTGAGATATAATTCACATACTATCCAGTTCACTCACCCCTCCCCCGTTTTTTAGAGACAGGATCTCATTCTGTCACCCGTGCTGGAGTGCAGTGACATGATCATAGCTCACTGCAGCCTCAAACTCCTTGGTTCAAGCAGTCCTCCCACCTCAGCCTCCTGAGTAGCTGGGACTGTAGGAATGTGCCACCATGTCTAACTAATTTTTAAACATCTTTTTGTAGAGACAGGATCTTGTTATTTTGCCCAGGCTGGTCTAGAACTCCTGGGCTCAAGCAATCCTCCTACCTCAGTCTCTCAAAGTGCTGGGACAATCCACCATTTAAAGTATAGAATTCAGTGGTCTTTAGTATATTCACAAATGTGTGTAACTATCACCACAGTCAATTTTAAACATTGTCATCACCTAAGAAAGAAACCCCATACTCTTTAACTATTATCTCCCATCCCCAGCCCCCTTCCTCACCAACCAGCCTCATTTTTATTTTTTATTTGTTTTGATTGGTGAACCTGGGGCATCCCTAGTAGGCAGGGCCAGATAAAGCAGGTTGTACCTTGACCTAAGAAATAAAAACAGCTGAGTTCCAAAAGGCACATAGGTTCCCAGCTCACAGGAATGGAAACTTGCCTCCTGCCTGTCCCCTTACCTCCCAGCATGCCTGCCCCCTTACCTCCCAGCGTGCCTGCCCCCTTACCTCCCAGCGTGCCTGCCCCCTTACCTCCCAGCGTGCCTGCCCCCTTACCTCCCAGCGTGCCTGCCCCCATACCTCCCAGCGTGCCTGCCCCCTTACCTCCCAGCATGCCTGCCCAAAGCAGCAGCAGCCTCCTCTTAACTTTTTCAGAAATGAACATAGGTTTAAGGTACTTTCAGTACCAGTCTCTAGGCTAGGTATTTTCACATTATTTTGTCTCCAAATCTTCCCAACAATCCTATCAAGTAGCCATTGGTCCCACTTCACAAATGACCCAACAGAAACTCAGGGAGGTTCAGTATCTTGCTCAAGGTCGCACCGCTGGATCAGAACCCAGCTGTCTGTTAAGCAGGTTCACTGCACACTGGTTACCAACTTGTCAAAGTCCAGTGAGGTGAACACCCACAAGTTACATAACGCTGAGTCCAGTGAGGTAAACACAAGGGACATGCAGTGTGTTTATTACCTATAGGTAGGCAGTAAGGGACAACAGAAGGCTGGGATTTATTTGGAGCTGGACCCCTAAGGCTCAGGAAAACTGCTGAGGCAGATGGGGGATGGACTGTCATCTGCGCATGCCCGACTTTTTTTTTGTTGGTTTGTTTGTTTGTTTTGAGATGGAGTCTCGCTCTTTTACCGAGGCTGGAGTGCAGTGGTGTGAACACCGGGATTCAAGCAATTTTCCTGCCTCAGCCTCCTTAATAGCTGGGATTACAGGCGTGCACTACCATGTCCAGCTATTTTTTTATTTTATTTTTTTTTTTAGTAGAGACAAGAGTTTCGCCATGTTGGCCAGGCTAGTCTTGAACTGCTGACCTCAGGTGATCCACCCGCCTCGGCCTCCCAAAGTGTTGCAATAACAGGTGTGTGCCAACACGCCCAGCCAGCCAGACTTGTACTGAAGTGAGGGACCCCAGAAACCAGCCTGCCCTGTTTTTTGTTTGTTTGTTTGATACAGAGTCTCACTCTGTCTCCCAGGCTGGAGTGCAGTGGCACGATCTGGGCTCACTGCAACTTCAGCCTCCCAGGTTCAAGCAATTCTCTGGCCTCAGCCTCCCGGGTAGCTGGGACTACAGGTGCACACCACCACGCCCGGCTAGTTTTTTGTATTTTTAGTAGACATGGGGTTTCACTGTGTTAGCCAGGGTGGTCTCAATCTCCTGACATTGTGATCTGCCCTCATTGGACTCCCAAAGTGCTGGTATTACAGGAGTGAGCCACCTCGCCCGGCTTCCGCCCTGGGTTTTATACCCTGAGGCCATGTGACATGTTGGGCTGAAGTGCTGAAGGACATCCTTTTTCTAGGGGGACTGGAACAGGGCATGGCTCTGCTGGCCAGACCTTCCTTGCCTCAGGATGTTGCATTCTCTGCACACTCTACAGTTTTATTTATTTATTTATTGAGACAGAGTCTTGCTTCGTCACCCAGGCTGGAGTGCAGTGGCATTGTCTCAGCTCACTGCAACCTCTGCCTCCCAGGTTCGAGGGATTCTCCCTGCTCAGCCTCCTGTGTAGCTGGGATTACAGGTGGCCACCACCACGCCTGGAGAATTTTTGTATTTTTGGTAGAGACGGGGTTTCAGCATGTTGGGTAGGCTGGTCTTGAACTTGTGATCTCAAGTGATCTGCCCGCCTCGGCCTCCCAAAGTGCTGAGATTACAGGCATCTACAGTTATTCTCGAGAACTACAAGCAAGAAAGGAGGGGAGAACCAGGTCAGTTCAAGGCCACTGGGAGAACTGTCCTGCACCGCCTGCCTCTGAAGCCCATGATGTTTCTGCTTTGTGGGACAGTTCTTCAGGTGCCTGCTTCCCCAGGCGTTCCCCTGTGCTGTCTCTCCTGCACGCACCGTCTGACTGTCCTCCCAGCACGTACACCTCCAGATGCTTGGGTTGACCTGACCCAAAACAGTCTACTCTCCCGGCCAAGCCAATGGCCCCTGGGATTTTCTGCTCCTCCAAGATCCAGCGCATAGCCCTGGTGGTGGCTCATGCCAGTACAATCCTTGGTTACTCCGGATACTGAGGCAGCAGGATCGCTTGAGGCCAAGGAGTTCAAGACCTCCCCTCTCCCAAATATTTTTTAATGAAATTAAAAGAAAGATCCAGCCCAAGTGCCTCTTCTCCCCTACTGACTCCCACACTCTTGTAACAGATGACCTCACAGCACTGGGCGCACGGCTCTGGTGTCCAGCAGGCAAGGAATTAATTAAGCCTTGCCTGTCCTGGCCGGTTGGCTTACCTGTCAGAAGGCAACCTGGCTTTGCGCACCTAGATGTCCCCAGCGCCCAGTTCTGAGCCAGGCACGTCAAATGTCAAGGAATTGACTGAACTAAGAGCTCCTGGATGGGTCCGGGAACTCGTCCGGGCACACGGTGCCAAAAGGCAGGCAGTCCGCTCGGCGGACTGGGGAAAGAACCGACAGGCGGCCGCGGTGAGCGCCCGGGCGCCGACAGGTGGCGCCGCAGCCCCGGGCCCGGGCCCTCTCGGCGCGCGGTCACGCAGCCCCTCTTCCTTCCGCCGGCTCCGGACTCACAGTGAGCCCTGCGCGCGTCTCTTACTCGGGTCTGTGCCCCGCGCCACGCTGGGCGCCATGGCGCTCCCCGGAGCCCGGGCCCGCGGCTGGGCGGCAGCAGCCAGAGCGGCCCAGAGGCGCCGCCGCGTGGAGGGCGCAGGAGGGTCCCCGAGTCCTGAGCCTGCGGGCCGGCGCGCGGCGCTTTACGTACACGTGAGTAAGGGCGGGGGCGGAGCCCGCAGTGTGTGGCCGCATTGGTGGCCGTGACCGTGGCGGTCCAAAACCCAGGTGGCGGCTTGTCACTCTATGAACCCGCCTGCCGTGTTTCCGTGCCCCCGTACGAGGTCTGGGATGGGACCCGGTGCCTTGGCAGGGAAATGACTTGGTACAGAAACCTGAAGTCTCTGCTTCTCACCAGCTCGGTGACTGACCAAATGGTTCAGATTTCACAACAGTTTTCCTCTTAGCAAGACAAAATTTTTTAAGAGCCGTGTTCTGATTCGGTAGCTGGGAAAATGGCCCGTAGGAAAATTGTATGCAAATTCTTTGATCCCAGAAAGAGCTTGGATTGAGTTCCTTCCTGACGTCTGCTGGTTGGAAGAGGCAGCGTAACAAAGGAGTGAGCCTCAGTTTTCTCACATTGAAGTGGATATAATAACCCCAGTGCGACTGCCTTGGGGAGTTGTGTGGCCTAGATGTCCTAGCTACTGTGGAAGGACCTCGGGATGGGGGTGGGGATGGGGTTGGGGATGTGTGCGACTAAACCCTGGAAGTGGCCAGGGCAGCTCTCACCGTGCACCTGCACCCACTGCCCCCAGTGGCCTTACTGCGAGAAGCGCTGCAGTTACTGTAACTTCAACAAGTACATCCCTCGCGGCGTAGAGGAGGCTGCCATGCAGAAGTGTCTGGTGACCGAAGCGCAGACGCTGCTGCGGCTCAGCGGGGTGCAACGGTGGGTAGTGGGGGCTGTAGGCAGCGTTTTGGGAATTATTTGGAGGAGTAGTGGGGGATAGGTGCAGGCATCCCCGAGGGCTCCCCCAGGTCTCATTTCTCCATCCTCTTTCCCCAGGGTGGAGTCTGTGTTCTTTGGTGGGGGGACTCCCAGTCTAGCCAGTCCCCACACGGTGGCTGCTGTCCTGGAGGCTGTGGCACAGACAGCCCACCTGCCTGCAGACTCGGAAGTCACATTGGAGGCTAATCCCACTTCAACTCCAGGCTCCAGACTGGCAGAGTTTGGGGCAGCAGGGGTCAACAGGTTGTCCATAGGCCTCCAGGTAACCCATGGCACCCAGCCCATCCCAGTGCACCCTGCCCTTCAGTGCTATCTCCTCTTTGGTCACATTCATTCATTGGACAGACATTGATTGAGCACATTCTGGGTGCCAGGGACACAATAGGGCCTAGTGTGACACTTTTGTAACTCCTTAATTGTCTGCTGCTGTCATAGAGCACAAACTTCATGAGAAAGGATCAGGTGTGGCTTTTCTATTTCAAGCACCCACCATAGTGCCTGGCACATTGTAGGTGGTCAAAAAGGATTTGCTACGTGACTGGAGACATGGGGGATGCAGACATGTAGCCAGATTATTGCAGCATGGTAAATGCCACCTGTAAAGGGAGTCTCTATAAAAGGCTTCCGGAGTACAACCTGAAGGGAGGTCACTCTGATGAAATTACTGAAACTTTTCTGGAGGAGATGATGTTTGAATGAAGAGGAGTTCACCAGGTGAGGGAGTGTGGGGGAAACGACACAGGACATGGAAGAGCCTGGCATGTTTTGGGGGAGCTGTGAGTCATTCCTTGTGACTGGAGAGGCTGGAGACAAGGCTGCAAGGTAAAGTCCAAAACCTTTGATGTCTACTAAGGAGTCTGGGTTTTGTCCTAGTAATGATAGGTAGCCATTGAAGGTTTTTAAGTAGGGAGAAACCTTAGTCCTCTCAGGTTGAGCTCTGATATTTCCATAGGACTTCTGGGTTGTGGGCTTTGTTCTGATGGGATATACTGAGAGAAACACATCACTTCTAAGATATTCTTACCCCAAAGTGCATATCTTGAATCTAATTGTGAGGAAACATCAGGAAACCCTGAATTAAGAGACTTTTACAAAATTATTGTGGTAAAAACAGACAGCATGAGATCTACCCTCTTAACAGATTTTTAAATGTACAGCACTGTTAACTATAAGCAATGTTATACAGCCAATCTCTAGAAATTATTCATTTTAAATAATTCATTTAAATAATAATTATAATAATCATACATAATGTATTTAAATTCATTAAATTATGCATTTTAAACAACTGGCCTGTATTCTTCAAAAATGTCAATGTCATGAGAGACAAAGGCTGAGAATCTAAAGGAGACAAAAGCTGAATACAATGTGTGGCCCCTGACTGGGGAGGAAGGAGGAAATTACTACAGTAGATGTTATTGGGACCATTAGCCAAATTTGAATATGACAGTGTATTATGTAATGGTGTTGTGTCAATGTTGCATTCCCTGAACTCTGTAATTGGATTGCGGTTATGTAAGAGAGTGTCCTTGTTCTTTAGGAAATACACACCTAAGTATTTAGAGGTTAGGGAGTATAATATCTATAACTGCTATTCAATATAGTGGCCACTAGCCACAGACTACTGAGCATTTGAAATGTGGTAAGTTAAGTTTAATTCGCTTAAATTTAAATAACCACATGTGGCTACTACCTTTCATATTGGACAATACAGATACTGAACATTTCCACCATTGCAGAAAGTTCTTTTGGACAGTGCTGGTTTATAACTTAACTATGATTCAGCATAATCACATGTATGTATGTTTAGAAAGAAATCTGGACAAATGGTGAATCTAGATGAAGGTTTTTTTTGTGTGTGTGATGTCCTTTCAACTTTTCTATAGGCTAGAATTATTTAAAAATGAAAAGTAAAGTAAATAAAGACTGTTAATTTTGGAGTCGGACGGTCCTAAATTCCAGGTCGAACTTTGCAACTACATGGCCTTGGGCAAGTTGCTTAACACCTCTGAACCACAGTTTTCTCATCTGTAAAGTAGAACTAATATTGGAGGGTTACAAAGGAGGTTACAAAGATTAAATTAGACACTACATAAAGGTGCTTCGCACACAGCAACCCTTCTGTGAAGGGCAGCTCTTGGTGCCCGCCTTCCAGCTCCTGCCTTCCAGCTGCCTGCCACATGCTGTGTTCTCCCTGTTTCTGTGTCTACAATGGGGTGGAGCGTTCTTTTCTCTCTCTGAGCTTACACCCACCCTCTTTTCCCAGTCCCTAGATAACACTGAGCTCCGGCTGCTGGGACGGACGCACTCGGCCTGCGATGCTCTGCGGACGCTGGCAGAGGCCCGGCGCCTCTTTCCCGGGCGCGTGTCTGTGGACCTCATGCTGGGGCTGCCGGCCCAGCAGGTGGGGCCGTGGCTTGGGCAGCTACAGGAACTGCTGCACCACTGTGACGACCACCTCTCCCTCTACCAGCTGTCCCTGGAGCGGGGCACCGCACTCTTCGCCCAGGTGCAGCAGGGTGTCCTTCCAGCCCCTGACCCGGAGCTCGCAGCTGAGATGTACCAGAGGGGCCGGGCTGTCCTTCGGGAGGCTGGCTTCCGCCAGTATGAGGTGTCCAACTTTGCCCGGAATGTAAGTTCTGGGGCTGGTGGCTGGAGGTAGAGGATGAGCAGACTGCAGTGTGACCGGGGCATTGTGACCTTCTAAAGAGAAGGATCCTGACTGGGTGCTCTCAGGCCTGAGATGGTGGGACATTCTAACCTGGGGCCCCTTACCTAAGCAGAAACTAGACCCACCCTCTTCACTCTGCACTATTTCCTCCCTCCCCGCAGGGGGCGCTCAGTACCCACAATTGGACTTACTGGCAGTGTGGTCAGTACCTTGGCATTGGGCCTGGTGAGTCCTGTGAACTACAGAAAGAATGACTCAGGAGAGGAGTGTCATGGCTGTGTGATCTTGGGCCACATTAACCTCTCCAAGCCTCTATTTTCTCATATGTAAAATGTGGCAAAAAAATAATACCTCCCTATAGAACTGTTGAGCATGAATTATAAGGGGCTTAATGTCGCACCTTGCACTGCGGTTCTCAGCCTTTAGTGTGTGTGAGAATCTCTTGGAGGGCTTGTTAAAACCCAGGCTGCTGGGCCCCACCTCCAGAATTTCCAACTGGACAGGGCTGGAGGAGAGCCTAAGAATTTATATGTCTTGGCATTTTGGGATAGATGATTTAAAAAGAAAAAAGAGAAAAGGGCCTGGTGTCTCGTGCCTCTAATCCGAGCTACTTGGGAAGCTGAGGTGGGAAGATCACTTGACCCCAGGGGTCCAAGACCAGCCTGGGCAGCATAGTGAGATACCATCTCAAAAAAAAAATAAAAAGAATTTACATTTCCAGTGTGTTAGAGGCAGTTGCTCTAGGGAGCACATGATTTAAATCTGGTAGGCACATAGTATTAACAGCCATTAATGTGGGGATGGTTGTTGATGTTGTCAGGGGCCCATGGGCGATTTATGCCCCAGGGGGCTGGAAGCCACACCCGGGAGGCTCGCATCCAGACACTGGAGCCTGACAACTGGATGAAGGAGGTGATGATGTTCGGCCATGGCACCCGGAAGCGTGTCCCCCTGGGCAGGCTGGAGCTGTGAGCATCCAAGGGCACAGGGCTCTCCCCCAGGGTCCCCACACCCCAGGACCACCTCTATTTGTACATCTTTTATTTCCTGCCTTGCCCTGGCCCCTGCCCTGCCACATACTGTATGGTCCCTGTTAACCTCTAAATGCATCCCAGTGAGGAATTTGGAGAATGGGAGGCCCACAGGCCTCCTCTCTAAGACTCCTTGATGATTTTTCTTTGAGGCTGGAGGAAGTTTTGGCCCTGGGTTTACGCACTGATGTGGGGATCACTCACCAGGTAAGGAGTTGGGATTCTTGCACACAACTCCCTCCTAAGTCTTGCAGAATCAGTGCCCCCTCCCTTCCACCCCCCGACACACATACACCTCCAATTTCTGTGAGATTGGCAGCTAGAAGTGGGGCCCGGGTCCAGCTGAGGCCTGATGAGCAGAAGCAGTGAGCAGTGGCGCACAGCTAAGAACCCGAGACCAGGGCTGCAGAGACCCAAGTTCCAGCCCACATTTTACTGCAACCTTGGACACAAATCCTTTCACCTCTCTCAGCCTCAATTTTCTGAGCTCTTTGAAGCAATAGATAGATAAAAGGTTTCCACTTGTTTTTAAGGAGCACTGAAACCTCTCATAGGAAGCACAGTAGATAATGATCAAGCAAACCCAGAGCTTCTCTGGATAAAGTCAGAGCCATAAAGCCCTGACTGGAGCTGGCTGAGAGGGGAGGGAAGAGAGGAGGAATAGAGGAAGGCCTGGCCTGGCTGGAAGCTGGGTTCCAGCCTCAGTAGAATAGGAGTGAAGGTGCCCTCCTCCCTGCTGGCCCATTGGCCTGGTTCTGGTTTCATGCATGTCAGCTGCTGAGATCTCCATGCTGGGCTGGACCCTCCCCTACCTCTCTCCACACCCCAACTACGTGGCCCAGAGTAGCCAGGCCAGCTCCCCCACCTCTGACCCTCTGGCTTCCCCAGCACTGGCAGCAGTTTGAGCCCCAGCTGACCCTGTGTGATGTGTTTGGAGCGAACAAGGAGGTGCAGGAGCTGCTGGAGCAGGGCCTACTGCAGCTGGATCACAGGTGTGTTGGGGGGTGCCAGGCAGAGGGGGCTGAGGCATCTCAGGGAGCCCTGACTACAGCTCTCCACAGACCCAGGAGAAGTGAGAAAGACTGACTGGTAAGGAGGGGCCTGCGGGTGCTGGGGGCTTGGCCCTGCTGGGGGATGGCTTGAAATTGGTAAGATGAAGTAGTCACCTTCAGGCCTCTTGGTTTTCCAGGGGTCTTCGCTGTTCCTGGGAGGGTCTGGCTGTGCTGGACTCTCTCTTGCTGACCCTCCTGCCTCAGCTCCAAGAGGCCTGGCAGCAGAGAACCCCCTCCCCTGTGCCAGGAGGATGACCAAATGTTCCTGTGTTCCAGGGTAACTCCAGGTGGGTTTTGAGAGCTGGGTTGGTACTTCAGACATCTCTTCTCCATTGTCAGGTGCCGTCTCTGCTCTATGTGGTCATTGCCCCCTGGCATCCCCAGGGGAATGGCAGCAGTGAGGTAGATGGGAGGATATTTCTGGTCGGGGAACTGGCATCCCATTCAGCATCTCAGGACTCACAGGCCAGCATGTGTTCCATGGCTAGGAATTGCTTACCACCCACATCAGCTTCTGTTTACCTTTTTGGCATTAAATAATGAACAGTGTTTGGAAATCTTTCTACAGGAAATTACCTCCCCAAGAGAAGCCTTCCTTACTTTGGAGTAAGGTCCTACGACAGCTGGATGAGTCAGGAAAACCATGTCCCCTCTAGGTATTATTAATATAAGCAGGAAGGGATCTACTATAGGAATGAAGTATTTATAAAACCACTGAAAGGGATAGAGAAGTGAAAATTGGAGAAAGCCAGTAGCAACTGTCAGAAATCAGCAACGTGCAGGAGGCACAGAAAACTCCTGCTGATGGTCTTAGCTTCCAGCTGCACAAAAGCAGATGATGTACAGGAAAATGCTCAGAAGATGCTCCAAAACTCATGCCTACTGTCTGCTACTGCTGGAAAAGGAATCATGGTTTCTAGAAGTGCCTCTCATTAGTGGACTTTAAAGCAAATCCTGGCTGGCAGGAAATTCTGAGGAATATAGTTCTTAGGCTTCCAGCCTCTACTATGCAGGAGAGAACACAGAAGGACTGATGTATGTTGGTGGATCCATGGATGTGTCCAGCACAGTGGCCTGCTGGACTCTGAGAACTGGAAAAGATCAGAGCAAGCCTTGCCTCTTATCTTCGGGAAACCAGAATAAGTTTGGGGTGGTAGGAGCCACACAGACTCTCCTGAGTCCCCTAACCCACTTCCTTCCCCCTGTGCCTTTCCTTTGAGAGTGAAGGTGGGTGGAGTTGCCCAGAGAAAGGGGAGAGAATTCGGGAAAGACCCAAAGTGTTTGTAATTCTCCTTTGTCCTTTTACCTACAGAAATGGTCACATGGTTCTATTCAATAGCCTAATAAACACATCTGGAGCCTGCCTTGACTGTGGTCCTCTCCTTTGTCTGAGCTCTTTCCTAGAGTGTGGAATACTGATTTCGGGACTAGAAGCTTACCCTAGGGCTGAGATTCCTTTCCCCACTCACTACATTTTATTTTGAAGGATTTCAGACCTACAGAAAAGATGAAAGAATAGTTCAATGGAGGCTATATATCCTTTGTCTATTATGTATCCGTAAAGTCTGGAAATAGGCAAATATTCATAATGCCATCAAGAACATCTTCAATCTATTGAAAAATATGGTAGGCCAGACGGGGTGGCTCATGCCTATAATCCCAGCACTTTGGGAGGCCAAGACGGGGAGAATCACTTGAGCCCAAGAGTTTGAGACCAGCCTAGGCAACATAGCAAGACTGTCTCCAAAAAATAAAATGTTTCCAGACTTCGTGGTCACCCTATAGATTCATCAATTGTTAATTTTTGGCCACACTTACTTCATCTTTAGATAAATATGTGTGTATAATTTTTTTTTTCTGAATAATTTAAAAGTTGTAGACATCAGGCCAGGCACAGTGACTCACGCCTGTAATCCCAGCACTTTGTGAGGCCGAGGCAGGTGGATCATAAGAGGTCAAGAGTTCAAGACCTGCCTAGCCAACATGGCAAAACCCCTTGTCTACCCCCCGTCCCCCAAAAATACAAAAATTAGCCGGGCATGGTGGCACGCACCTGTAGTCCCAGCTACTTGAGAGGCTGAGGCAGGAGAATCGCTTGAACCTGGGAGGCAGAGGTTGCAGTGAGCTGAGATTGTGCCACTGCATTCCAGCCTGTGACAGTGAGACTCCGTCTTAAAATAAATAAATAAATTCATTAACTACATACAATCATAGACAATTTTAGCCTTTCTCCATTAAAAAAGAGCTTTTCAGTTTTTAAAGGGCGAAACTTTTTTTTTTTTTTTTTTTTTTTTTGAGACAGGGCCTCACTGTCGCTGAAGCTGGAATGCCATGACCACAGCTCACTGTAGTTGTGACCTTTCAGGTTCAAGCGATCCTCCCACCTCAGCCTCCCAAGTAGCTGAGACTACAGGTGTGCACCACTATGCCTGGCCAATTGTTAAGTTTTTGTAGAGATAGGGTCTCCCTATGTTTCCCAGGCTGGTCTCAAACTCCTGAGCTCAAGTGATCCTCCCACCTTGGCCTCCCAAAGTGCTGGGATACAGATGTGAGTCATTGTGCCTGGTGAAGGGGTGATACTCTTAACCTGGAAGTTGTATCTTATATGTGTGAGACAGAGGGAGTGGGGAGGGGCATTTTCCTGGGAAGAGGCTCCATAAGTTTCATACCTTATGTCATAGGGTACCATGATGCCAGAAGTAATCCAGTACCACTGCCAAATGAGGCATGCTAAGCTCAGCCTCTAGCTGAGTGACTAAGAATGGGGCCTCCCCACCTCTCAGGTAAGCACGTGCGCTTCCCATGTGCCCAGTGGGTGTGAATATCAGTCCTTCCTTGACCCTGTGGTAACTTGGTAAGTGTTACTACCTCTCCTTTATTCATGAAATATTAAGCAAGCACAAATGGTGTGCCAGGGACTGCACTGGGCATGCAGGGGGGAACAAGACCTGTCCTGGCCCTCAAGGCACTCATTGCCATGTTGACAGATGTGTAAAGAGATTAATTCCAGGCTTGTCAGTCAAGGTGCGCAGGCAGGTCGTGGGAGCCAGGAGCATGTTTAGTTCAGAGGGACTAGGAGCAGGACAGGAGAATACCCTTTTCTTACCACCTCCATTGGCCCTGCTGTCCTGGAAAGCCTGGCCCTGGGGCAGCCTGTGGGGTGACCTGTACTGCTCAGGGAGCTGCTTCCTGAGACTTCGCCTGATCTTGACATTCAAGAAGCCAGCACGGGGCTGAGGCAGGTGCACCATCAGATAACCTGGGACCACTCAGGTTTCTCCCAGCTGCCAGGGCTCGTGCCACCTGAGATGTCCGGGCCCTCCCTGCCAGAACACCTCATGAGGCCTGTGCAGAGGAGCTGGGTAGGAGCCAGGGCCAAATGGGGGTGGCACAGATCACCTTCTGTGACTCAGTCTAGGCTTTCCTTCACCAGATGAATCAGAAGCTCCTGGAGTTGAAGCCCTGGAATCTAGTTTTTCAATGCTCATAGATGACCCTAGTGACCATTCCCTTTTGGGAACCCTGATTACAATCATTTTTTGCCTTCCATCCCAGGAGACTGGGGGCAGGAGGAAAGGGAGACACGGCTATTTCCAGTGTCTCATGACAAAGTGGGAAGGGGGGCCTTCATTTCATATCCCAGCCCTTCCATGGCTCATCCATCGGGGGCTTCTCCTCCCCCATAGTGGGACCTGGGTTGTCATCTTTTCACCTGCCCTACATGGACATGAGTAAAAGGGGTGAACAACCCCCTCTGGTGATGAAGTTGGGGACGTGTAGTACATGTGGGTATGCGGTTACAGCTTGAAGCACCAAACCTTCTGCGTGCAGGTAGAGCACTGATCATTTGAAAGTCTTCCACCTGAGCCACCCCTCCCTGCTGCCGAGTAGTATGAGGTCGACAAGACAGCCCTTTTCATTTCCATCTTAGATAGGGACATTCATGGAGGCTCTCTAACTCAACTCAAGTCCTATAAGCAGTAAGTAGAAGGCCTGGCATAACACTTCTGAGCATCCAGAACTTTCTGTCCCATCATTGTTTTCTCCTTGCTGTAGGTCAAGGTCAGGTGGTCTGCCTCTTAAATTAGGCAAAGTCCAGACCTCTCAAATTTGGGGACAGGGAGGGTGAGGGTCTCACTGTGTCCCCCAGGCTGGAGTGCAATGTTAGGATCGCAACTCACTGCAGCCTCAAACTCCTAGGCTAAGTGATCCTCCCACATCAGCTCTCCAGCCCCTAGTAGCTGGCATCATGCCCGTGAGACCACTCACCTCTCCTCTCACCCCCTTCTGCAAAGAAAAGAACTTTAAATAATAGAATGAAATCACTGTGTGGTAGATTGTATTATGTCCAAAATATTTGCTACCCCTCCTTGGCTTGAGCCTCACCTGAGGGCCTGGGGAGGATTATATACCCCTACCTTGTTGAACCTGGAAGGGCCACGAAACGTGCCTGGCACTGGTTGTAAGAGCCGGTGGGTGGTCCATCAGCTGTTGCAGTGACCTGCAATGTTCACATGGAGACTGTTTAGTCAGCCTAGGTCCCAGGGTGAAGAAGATGGTCAGAGCAGCCAGCCACAATAGACACGAACGGTAGGGAGAAATTAGCCCCTGCCATTGTAGACCAGTAGACTTTCCAGTTGTTGCCGCACCATAGTTGAGACTAAACTGCCTGATTCAGTTTGTAATCCCACCATTTAAAGATTAGCTATTGTTAAGATTCTGGTGTGTATCTTAGCAGAATTTCTGATACACAAATGAATGTATTTAGATACACAATCTTACAAAAATGGGACAATACACATCTTGCTTTGGAGCTTTCTTGTCTTATCTAATATGTACTGAGTGTCTTTCCACGGTAAATTTATATCTAGATCCAATTTTTCAGTGTTGGGATTACAGTGTGGCTCCATAGTGTACTGATGCATGGTTATGCCAAAAGATGTTGTTTTCCCAGTTTCGTTTCATTTCTTTTCTCCTTCCTTCTTTCCTTCCTTCCTTTTCTTTCTTTCTTTCTTTCTTTCTTTCTTTCTTTTTCTTTCTTTCTTTCTTTCTTTCTTTCTTTCTTTCTTTCTTTCTTTCCTTCTTTCCTTCTTTCCTTCTTTCCTTCTTTCCTTCTTTCCTCCTTCCTTCCTTCCTTCCTTCCTTCCTTCCTTCCTTCCTTCCTTCCTTCCTTCCTTCCTTCCTTCCTTTCCTTCTTTCTTTTAGACGGAGTTTCACTTTTGTTGCCCAGGCTGCAGTGCAATGGCACAATCTCCACTCACTGCAACCTCTGCCTCCCGGGTTCAAGCGATTCTCCTGCCTCAGCTTCCTGAGTGGCTGGGATTACAGGCGCGCACCACCACGCCCAGCTAATTTTTTGTATTTTTAGTAGAGATGGGGTTTCACCATGGCCAGGCTAGTCTTGAACTCCTGACCTCAGGTGATCCGCCCGCCTCGGCCTCCCGCAGTGCTGGGATTACAGGCGTGAGCCACCCTGCCCGGCCCCTTCCTTCCCTTTCTTTCTCTTTTCTCTTTCTTTCTTTTTGACATCTCTGTCACCCAGGCTAGAGTGGAGTGCAGTGGCACAGTCACGGCTCACTGCAGCCTCAACCTCCTGGGCTCAAGCAATCTTCCCACCTTAGCCTTCTGAGTAGCTGGATCCACCACACCCGGCTAATTTTTAAATTTTTTGTAAAGACAGGGTTTTGCCATGAGACCCAGGTTGCTTTTGAACTCCTGAGCTCAAGCAATCCTCCCCCACTTGGCCTCCCAAAGTGCTGGGATTACTGGGGTTACAGGTGTGAGCCACCGCACTCAGCCTCTAGTTCCTTTTTTTTTTTTTCTTTTTTTGAGACAGAGTCTTGCTCCCTCACCCAGGCTGGAGTGCAGTGGCGCAATCTTGGCTCACTGCAACCTCTGCCCCCACCGTTCAAACAATTCAAAATCAAACTCCCAGGCTCAAGTGATCCTCCTATCTCTCCATCCCTTTGTAGCTGGTACTACAGATGCACACCAGCGTGCCCAGCTAATTTTTAAATTTTTTACAGAGGTGCAGTCTCACTATGTTGTCCAGGCTAGTCTTTTTTTTGGGGGGGGGGGACAGAGTCGTACTCTTATCACCCAGGCTGGAGTGCAGTGGCACAATCTCACCTCACTGCAACCTCTGCTGCCCAGGTTCAACTGATTCTCCTGTCTCAGCCTCCCAGAGTAGCTGGGATTACAGGTGCCTGCCACTGTGCCCGGATACTTTTTGTATTTTTAGTAGATATGGCTTTTCACTATCTTGGCCAGACTGGTCTTGAACTCCTGACCTCGTGATCCACCTGTGTCAACTTCCCAAAGCGCTGGGATTACAGGCGTGAGCCACCGCGCCCAGCCACCCAGGCTGGT